GGAAAAGACTGAATTATAAGAATGGTGTCAAAGTGGGTAGGGAGATGTGACGATGACTCCTTTTTTGTATGAAGAATACAAGGCCATGTTTTTAGGCTGCAGCAAAAACCGTGGAAAACATGGAGCATTCAGAAATTTGAGAGGTGGGAAAAGTGAGGTGTGAAGTCGGCAAGGAGAAGCAGGGGGAGACAGAATGCCAAACACAAGTGAACTGGAAGGCAAAGAGGCTGCCTCCCCACTAAAACAGGGAGAAAGGATCAGGACAGTTTGCGTGTTTTTAACTATAGAAGGGAAGAAAGGTAATAAAGCAGCTTCCAGAAGGTTTCTATTTTCTTAAGCCCCCTTGTAGCAAAATTATCTACTAACAGTGACGAAAATGAAGTGAGGAGGGGGCAAACGAGTTCGAAAGAAATAATTAAGGTCTGCGAAAGGAAACAGTATGGCTAACCCAAAGGATTACTGGGTTGTGCTGAAACTTACTTTATTAAAGGAGAAGTTATGTTTGAGGAGAATTTTGAATAGCACTTTGAAGTAACAGCCAGCACAGAAAAGACCTATATAAAAGTAATTCCTTCATTATTATCTTGATTACGGTATTTCTAAAAAGCTTTATTTTTAAAACTCCTTGTTAATTTATTTAGGGTTTGGCATAGATTCATCAAGACATGCAAATTTAAGTATCAAGTACAATGAAATAAAATACAGATCAAAAAATGCCTAGATGAGAAAAATTTTAAGTTATCTTCCTGCACTCAATTTACAATTATAACTCTAATTAGAACATCTTAACTGCTCCATTACTTGATTTGGGTTTTTTGGGTTTTTTTCCTAATTCTGTTTTTGCTGCCTTAATAGTTTCTGCTCTAAACTGCATTAAAAGATTCTATAGTTGTAAATTCTTCAGTGGCACTTTGGGAACAAAATAACCAAAAGAAGAGAGCTAACCAGTTTTATATATAGAGAGAGAAAAGAGATTATGGCACTTTGGATCAAAAATATGATTTAACTCCCCTACCTACCACTGACGTCTTATCTGTGGAACTACACAGGATTTAAGTGTACTGAGAATGAAGCTTATCTAAATAATTTAAGGACCAGTTTAACTTCGACAATCACAGAATTAAGTCTTAAGCTTTGAGAAAAACAATGGGATAAGGTCCAAATTTATTGACATCCACAGTTTCCTTGACTTTTTCAAGGCAAAACATACCTTGACTTGTTTTTCTGCTCATGCATGGCTGTATCCTCAACATTTTAGAGGTTGCAAACTCTTGTCATGCATGTCTGATAGGGCTGGGAGATAAGTTTGTTTAGCTGCCAAATGGTTTTTGTTTATTTAATTTGAATACTTCTAGGCAAAATACGCATCCTCTAGTTCAACCTCTATATGACTTATATTCTCTGCTACCTACCTCTGAAAGTCATGCATTGACATTGCTGCCTAGTTGTGAAGGTATTTGAGGTTGGGGAGGGAAGGCCTCCACCTTACAGTAACAGAGATGGATTCTATTGTATTCAGGAAACTCTAAGCCAAAATCCTGGCTCCAGTGCATACCTGCTTAGTGCCCATGGACAAGATACATAATATTTCTGAACCTCAGAAAGGTATTATCTCTAAAATATATTAAATGTCTATCACACCAGGTTACTTAGAAGTTAAATAAGATTCTGTGTACAAGACACCTAGCACAGAGTGATGGTCCAGTGAATATTAGCTTCCTTCCTCCCTTTTATGTTTTATTGCTTAGCTCATTAGATGAGAAAATTAAGTTGTATAAATAACTATTCATTGCATATAGTGCTTGCTTTTCTTTCAGGTGTTTTGGAGTCTCTAGCAAAATTACATTAACAGAAAATTCTATCTAATTATAAATAATAACTAATTAGTGAGTTGGCCTCAATTAAAACAATTTCATCCAAGACTCTTCAAAACATTGAAGTTAAAATATGTGGCAACAGTATAATTAAAAAGCCAGAAATCTTGTAATTGCCTTGTTTTTGCAGTGAGTAAAGGTAAATGCATGAATTTTTTAAATTCTCTCCAAAGGGCTGTGTTTACCTTTCATTTGGCCTCATCAATTTTGATTTGTTTTTTGTTTTGTTTTGCTTTGTTTTTTATGGTCATGTTAGGGTTCTTTTCAATGACTTCTTCAATAACTGTAGTTTGAGAGCAATTATGCTTTGTCCTTGAATGAGTAGTTCTAATGACTGGCCTTTCTGAGGAATCATACATTCTGACTGGCATTGACAATTCACCATGTGAAGAGCTACAATGCTTTATTATGGTTTATTAATAGGTCAAATATCAAATGAAGGTCCTATTCATGTTGACAAGAATAGGAATAGGAGTTAAAGACACAGTCAAAACATCTCAGAAGTAGACGTAAGACAAGTAGTATAACAAACCTCCATGACCTCTGTAACACACTACCTAGGCAACAAACCTGAACATCCTGCACATGTACCCCCAAACTTAAAATAAAATTTGAAAAAAGAAGAAAGCCTGAAATGTAGGCTGGCTTTATTTTACTACAATTAGTAAGGATATAGGTTTAGGAATCTTACAAAAATTTGAAATTAAAACGTAGTTTATTACTCTCTTGTATAAAATTCAAGCTGGCAAGGTAGTTCTGCTGTCCTAGCTCCTTTTACATTATTGCTCATGGTTTTCCTTACCAGATTTCCATCTCAAGGACTAATTTCAACAACATCCATTGAAAAGGGAAAAGTGGAAGAGACTCTCCTTCCATTTCAGGATATAACCAAAAGTTGAACCCATTGAGTCTCCTGGCTATAACCAAATAGAACAGAGGCTGGAAAAATGCCATCTTCAGTTAGAAAGCCATGCTTCCAGCTAAATCTTCTATTAGTATGTAACAAAGAAGAATGAATACAGAATAACAACTAAGATCTCTGAAACACTGGGGAAGAATTATCTTCTCGACGGGATCAAGGAAGCATCTTTCCTTGGCTGTTGCTAGCAGCCATCTTAATACAATGAGATAAGTCAGCCTGAGAATAAAGAGAAAACAGATATAAGCAAAGAACCAAGAGAATAGCAGAGAAATAGAGCTAGACCCTTCCTATCTTCATGACAGGCCCCTCTATCCCACCTCTTGACCACCTGTTACGGGAGGTAATAAATTTTCCTCCTGGCTGAATTAGGTTTCTCATTAATTGCAGCTGAAAGGACTCTAACTACTACAAAAAGCCAAAACCCAAATGAGGATGGAAAAAGAAATGCAGCTGGATCCCAAAGACCTCTTAATAATTTCTTAATGAGGGCTTTAATTTCCCTCATTAGATAGAAGATCAAACTTATTTTCTCTTTTTTGTTCTATCCCCTCACCAACTTCATAGTCGCTCCAAGAAAACTGAAAAGTGGTTTTCTCCAGGAATGTTTTACATCATCTGTATTTAAAAACAGAATTAATCTAACCCCATAACAGGATGAGCTGCCTTGTGCTGAATTGCAGGTCTGTCTAAGCATGGTACACAGTAATACTTCTTAATTAGAGAAGTACATTGTGATCTCGAAGTCTATTGAAATTGCTCAATGGCTTGGTTTTAAGTAGTGCTCAGTGAAGCTGCAGAAGTGTGAATAATAATATGAAATAATCATCATTGTACACTACAAGCAACATCTAATATCAGCAGAAAGCATAAAAGTACAAAAAGGAACAGAAAATGTGATGCTTTCATCATGCCATGTAATGTCCTACAGCCACTTAAATATCCACACAAAATACACTGCCTTTAAATTGTTCTAAGTTTAACTCATAATTCTATAACCAAGTTTAACTTAGATGTTCACATATCAGACAGTCCCATTGCAAGGACTGATTTATGCTTTTCAAACACAGAGAAAATGACTACTTCTGTCATTTGTTGGAGTACAAACCACAGCAATATATCACCTGAATTTGCAGGGGAAAGCACTTGTAAGAAACACACATTGTTCAATCAAACAAACATAAAGATTGTGTCATTAACATAGCAATTAGACTACATTATAAAATATTTGCCATCTCCCCCACCCCATCCCAGCTCTCCCCGAAAAACATGTATTTCCATGTGTAAAGATCCATGGGTAACTCTAATACCTGAGTGACTAATATTGTCACATCAATTCTAAATTAATGAATAACTGCAAAAATAGTTCTTACGAATAGATATCGCTAAATTTTCATAGCCCGAATTTGATTTTCATCCCATAGCAATCTTACTCCAAGTCAAGTATTTTATATCATTATTAGGTATCAACTTCTATCAATTCTCCTAGTGGAACATGAAAGACAACCTTAGAACATTTTCTTTGAAATGTGGTGTTTTCTAATAGCTTTTGATCCAACATTTCTGAGAGATATTTTAGTTTATTTGTAGAAGTTATTTTACAAACAAGTGCATAAATACATACTTCATGGTAGATTGTACTGATTGGCAAACACTTATGCTACTTTCTCTTACCCTTGACCCATGAAAAGAGACATACTTTTCAGCCCAGTTATGGGTTTGGTCACAAGACTTGTTTTAGAAATGGAATATGAGTGAATATGTCTTATATTATGACCAAGCAGAAACTTTCAGAGGCTTTGCAAGTTTCTGCTATTTGCTTAAGCTTCAGCCCTCTGCCACCTAGGTCTTCCACCTAGGTCCCAGAATTAAAGGATACATAGAACAGACCTGACCCCACTTCACGTCCCAGAGCCCAGTCCAGGAGAGCCAAGCAGAGCTGAGCAAAACTATAACCAACTTGTAAACAAATGAGTGAGAAAAAATGACTCTCATTGTCAGCCATTGCAATTTGAAGGTTGTTTGTTACTACAGAAAGAGCTGGTATGTACCCAATGCTTCTGAAAGGCATTTAAGAAGGTATAATAAATGTAACCCTACACTGGCCCTTTTGAACCTAACACGTAAATGTTATTTGACCAAAAAACAGTCCGTTGGAAACCCAAAGAGCCATTTTGTTCTTGACATCTTACCAGGCTTTCTTTTTCTCTGTTCTGACACTTCTTGGTAGAGCTGAACAGCCCAAAACCACTGTTGAACACCTGAGTGTAAGGAAAGGGAAATCTCTATTAAAAGTTCAAAATCCTATTTCATAATGTCATAGAGCCAAATTGAATGCTGAACCTAGCTCCTTTCATTTTAATCCATCCCTCAGCTTCTCTCACCCTAATGATATCATTTGAGTATGAGGTTTCTACATTCTACTAGATGTACTTTTAAGGATAGAGGCCCTGCCACATTCCTCTCTCTATGAATTCCCCCAGTGCTTTTCAGTATCATGCACAGAACAGGTGAGACAGATGACAGATAGATGATAGATAGGTAGGTAGGTAGATAGATAGATAGGCAGATAGATGATAGATAGGTAGGTAGGTAGATAGATAGATAGGCAGATAGATGATAGATAGATAGGCAGATAGATAGACAGGCAGACAGACAGATGATTGATTGATAGATAGATAGATAGACAGATAGATAGACAAATAGATAGACAGACAGATAGCTCTAGCTAGCTAGCCAGTGGTAGATTTTAAATGCAACATTTTGGGAAGAATCCACTCTACTTGTTCTTTGTCGTGATTCCAGCCATATCCCACTATCTGTAGTTTCTTTAAATGTATCAATCTCTTCCCAAATTCTGTAATTCTTCCTATAGGAACCTCTACTGGCAGTGACACTCCTTGCTTTTTCACATGATAAGGACTTAATGAATCCTTCAAGATCTCCTTTAATGTCATCTCCTCTCTTTCTCACTGAAATTGTAGCTCCATTAAGGCAAAGGCATATCTGTCTTGTTCAAAGCAGTGTTTTCAACATCTGGCATGATTGGCATGAGGTAGGCACTCAATAAATATTTAATATATGGATAAATAAACACAAAAGCTCCCCTAATACTCCTAGACTGACTTCAGCCTCTCTTGTGTTCTCATATTATAATTAATAAATACCTCAATTGCTGATTTTACAAAATTGTATTATCTGTCATAACACCTGCCAGAAATTGACCAATAAATATTGGAGAAGTAAAATATTTGTGGCAAAAACAGACTGAGATTCACAAATCTGAGAGCTGCTTTTAGCGTGAGGACTAATACCCTGCTTGCTTAGGCTGGAATCCAAACTATGTTTTATTTTCAAGCATAGTCTCAGCTTGAAGATGAGCAGAAACTACTTGGATTTGGCCAATCCATGTGACCAGTAAGATGTTCAACATCTTAAGTACTGATGATCTACACAATGACATGGAAGTTCTCTCAAACAGAATGTTAAGGAAAGAGGCCAGACATGAAAGCAACTGCATGATTCCATTTACAAAAGTTCAAGAACGTCAAAAATTAATCTATGGTAATAGAAATCAGAGTGGTGGCTATGTTTGTGGGGTGAAGTAATCTAACTGGAAGTGAGCACAAGAAGCCTTCCGGGTACTTACGGAAGCACCTGGGAGGTACTGGAAATTTTACCTTTTTTTCCCCACTAATTTAACTCTCTCTTACCACATAAATTGCTTCACTAATGTTTTTTCTTATTCTTTCTGGGGTTTTTTACCCTCATTTTCAAGGGCGTCTTAAATAATTTTCCTGCCCAAAAAATATTTGGCTCCACTTCCCAATTTAATATTATTTGCTAACTTCTTAGGCATGCTTTGTAATTTTCTAGAAGATCATTATTGCAATATTAGAACCGTTTCTAAGGTAACAAATCTTCCTAGAATATTGCACCGTGAGATTCTCAGACTGGTGGTAAGACACTAATGGTCAGTCATTTGAAATAGTCCTGAAACCAGTGACGCAGGAATAGCCATATAACCCTTAATCTTTTCATTTTAATGAAGCAATCTTTCATTGATGAATAATTTTTTTCTTTGTTCAACATCCCATCTCTTAAAGCTAATTATCCAAAATTTTAAAAAAAATTAAGAAATGACAGCATAGTTGGATTTGAGAGATACAAAAATGTACCTTTCACTGGTCATTCTTGTTTCCTGATCTCCCTAAAAAAACAAATATCCACCAGTTTTCTAAGTCCTGAAATTCCATCATCAGATATTCTATCTTTTGCCTTTATTTCATTTTAAAAGATAAATACTAGAGGATAAAATTTAAAAAGGATTTTCAGTCAATCACATCTAATTCACTTTTTTGGATCCAAATTTGGGATCTACAAAGGTAGAATGCCAGCAGAGAAGCTTAAGTTCGAAAGTTGGAAACTTGAGGGAAATGAATGAAAGGGAGAAGATGATTCAGGGAACAAACTTAAGCTATTTGGAGAAAACAAGAGAAGTAAATTAAAACACAAGAGTCTTGTATGGAGGTAATCTAAAGAACTCCTATACGTCAAAAAGAAAGGGACTGACAATCCAATAAAATTGGGCCAAAATATTGAGCTGCCACTTCATAAAAGAAGATACACAAATGGCCAGTCAGCATGACCAATCAGATGTTCAACATCCTAAATACTATTGATCTACATACACAATAACATGGATGGTCTCCCAGACAGAATGTTGAAGAAAGCCAGATGTGAAAGAGCATGATTTCATTTATAAAAAGTTCAGAAACATGCAAGATTAACCTACGGTAATAGAAATCAGAGTAGTGGCTATGTTTCTGGGGTGGGAAATTTAACTGGAAATGGGCACAAGAAGCCTTCTAGGTACTGGAAAATTGCCATATAATGATATGGTCATAGTTTAATGGACATAGTCATATGTTTAGACTCATTGAGCTATACATTTAATATTTGTGTTTTTTCTGTTGATATATCATGTCCCCAAAAATTTATTTCATTTTTAAATCAGAACTCTTTGATGGAAATGTGAATGGTATAGTCTGTGGGTCCTTTAGCCACATACTTTGAGTTACAGAATACAAGCTTTAGATTCTCTTCCCTCAAAAGGAGCGGGTGAGGTAATTATTGAGATTTTTCTAGGCTCAGGTGAGAGCTACAGTAATGCCTCTGCCTACTTTGGTCTTTGACTCTGCCAGGTTTCAACTTCTAATTTCCCCATAGAGTTCTTTAGTCTTCTCTCTCCTTATCAATCCTAGGTCTTAGAAAGAAGATTTAGAGTCCCACATGATAACACCCAATTGTGAAAATGTTGTTCTTAGAATTTTTATTCGCCATTTTTCTTCTGCTGAGGCAGAACATTTTGAAATAAATTCTTGCTTAATACTCTTTGGAGTTGTTAAAATGAGAACATCAATCAACCAACTTACTAGATCAAGTGTTTTCTCAATTTCTCCTATAATTGCCATGGCATTTAGGTCCTTGTCCATTCATGAGACAAAAAAGATGGAACAACCATTGCTGTTACTTAGTTGCCTCTTTCATTCAACTGTGACTTCCTTGAAGAAAAGAAATTATCTCATTTATCTTCGTATCCCTGGCATTAAGCCTAGTGCCTGGTACATAGTAGGTGCTCATTAATTTTTCTTGAATTAAAATGAATGAGGAAGGCCTTCACAAAACCTTTTGCCAGAGGCAATTTTAACTTGCATTCAATATCTGAGGAGAGTGGGCGTGCTGCTTTGGCAATAGCTCTGACATTGAATAATCTGGATGTTCCAAATTTCTTGTTGCTCATTTATTTAAAAAAAAAAAAAAAGTTGGGGGAAGCAGGGGAAGATTGTGTTTGCAGGCCAGGCAGACACATCTCAGACTCATCACCCTGTGAGATGGATCAGATGAGACAGCAGCAAGACCAAGGCCACCTGCCCTGCTGCTGTCTTCTGACTGCTGATGTTGCCTTAATCACTGAGCCGATGCAATTTCCTGCTGCTAACCCTCGCTATGGTCCACTGGGAGGTCTCATTTGTCACTGTCATTACCTTTAAGATCAGCAGAATATCCATCTTTAGGTGGGCCCTCTTTCAGTGTCTTGTTCAGGTGTCTAAAAAGCATGTGGTCAGCGTAACAATTCAAGACAGTGACCCTGGTGCCTAAATATGAAGGCAAATCTATGCACTTTGGTATATAAACTCTACAAATAGTGATTTTGAAGAACAAGTAAATATCAATTTCATTTCAAAAAAGTGACACTTTCTTTTCATGTATCCTTTATAAACCATGCTAGTTTTATGTCTATAATTTAGATGCTCTATGGGAAGGCCTTGATTAAATGAAAAGCTACAATTCAATCAACACTATCACCTTTGATCCTACGCTGAGCCCAAATCAGTTCTGATTTTGCCTCCCCCAACAATCATAAATCCATCAGCTGAAAAACTCATACATATCTGTCTCTGAAAAGTTCGACAAATGCCTTATACAAAATGCCTTCTTTCTGACATTTGACTTGAGTAAAACTAGCTTTCTTATTTATTAAACAAACACCTGTCTTACACTTACTATGTGCCAGACACAATTCTAAGAGTTTTGTAATCATGAACTCCTTTATTGTATTAAAATCTTATTTTATAGGTGAAGAAACTGAGGTGCAGAAACTCAGTGTCTTACCCAACTTGTAACACCAGTAAATGAAATTCTAGCTAGGTACATCTTGTTCTTGAGTCTGTGGTGTCAACCGCTACAGTCAGACAACAGAGGTTCTTTGGAGCCAAACGTCAGGCCAACATTTTCCAACAAAATTAATGTATTCATTTATTCTTTCAGCTCTGGTGCAGAGCAAAGGAGAGGTCAGGGAGAAGGGAACAAACAAGCAGTCCACAAAATTGTACCTTCGACCACTTTCTCTTACATTTTACATCTCATCGTCACCAGCTGCATCTCCAGAGGCAGATGTAGAGATAGTGTTTGAAGTTCAAGATGTTCACAGATTCCCTGTGAAAGGAAAGAAGAGGAGGCAGAATTGGGTAGTATCGGGCAGGGAAGAAGTTGAGCTACAGTAAGGCCTGGCAGAGCATTGGCCAACCAGCAGAGAGCAAACATAGCCTGTAAAAGTGATCTTGAAGAGCCAAAATGGTCAGACCTTATATACCCAACTTGCCAAGTTACCAGATTTGGACTGTCCTAGGAAGGGCATAACTTTGAATGAGGCAGGTCTGCAGCTGAGACAGCTCTTAAAGGCACTAACATCTGGAGCCTGCTGCCAACCACATTCCCACAATAGGGCATTTAGTCTTTCCTTGAGAGGGATCTGGTCATCTCCACATCTTCCAAACTCAGAGTAAGAGCCCAAGTCCTTATAGTTACCTAAAAGTCCTACACAGTCTGACCCCATTACCCCTTGGACCTCACCCCCACATCCTGTGCCTTTGCTCACACTGACTATAAAACACTGGCTTCCTTGCCAGGCAACCTCCTACCTTGGTCTTCTGTTCTCTCTCTTTTTTCAGATATTCATGTGACTTGATTTTTGCTTTCTTCATATCTTGGCTCAAATATTACATTCTCAATGAGGCTTGTTGTGATTCCCATTTTAAACTTTCTCACTTCCCCCTACTCTCAATGCTCCACCACCCCCTCCTCTGCTTCATATTTTTTCATTGTATTTTTCATCTTCTGACCTATTATATAGTCAGTCCTATAAGCTCAGGATAAGGTAGATGCCACCCAGTCCATTTCCTACTGCAGAAAGAAGGACTATGTATATGTAAATATCTCATGCCATCTCTATAAGACTCAACATGATTATTATACCTCAAACGAAAGAAATGTGCTTTCATTCTAGTTCTCAGAACAATTAAGTGCTACTAAATTTTTACACCAAATTCACAGGGATGGTACACTAGGCTGATGCAAGCGTCCACCTAACATCTTCCTTACTGGCAAAGCCCACTGGTTTCATCTGCAGTTTTACATGAGACTCACTCTGGCATCTGCTGCTGAGATAAACAGTGGATTATTTTCCCCTTTCTGATTCCTTTTCCCACTTGGAGGACTAGCCATGAAAAAGTAGGTGGTTAGCATTTTACCAGTTTTTCACCAATCAAGCTTTTTAGTAAACTCTGCCCTACTACATTGGTTAAGAAGGTGAGCACCAGATTCAGACTGTCTGGGCCCATGGTCCCACCACCTCCCAGATGGGTGTTCTTTGGCACATTGTGAACAGATCCATGCTTCAGTCTCCCTGTGTGCTACATATCACTTAGAGCATCTTAAACACATATTGTCCTGCCTGAAACATTGTTAGGACCCAGGAAATAGCACTTATTACTGCTCCATAGTCTCCAATGTCTCTCTCTCCTACCTACCCCACCCACCTCTGTCACTGAGAGCTGTATTGCTCTCAGTTTTCCTTCTCCTTGAGTTCTTTTTCCAAGCATTACAGCATTCTTAAACACTACTAGGCTTCTCGTCTCATTTAAAAACTCTTTTGTAAGTGGGCTTACAGTTATAGAGTATATTCTATACCAGGACTCAGAATGACCCATTTTATACTGGGGAAGGAAATAAACATGGACTGGGAATCCATTCAAGAGCATCTTATCCAGATGACATGGTCTCCTTCCAAAGTTGTAAGTTTCTCATAGCAACTATAAAACTGCCCAATAGTCCTATGTCCCAACAAGAAAAAAAAAAAAAAAAGTGTAACTCTCTGAAACACTGAAACATAAAACATGGTATTTTATGAAATCAGGTTCTTAATTTTGAAATCCAAGTCACCAAATTTTATTTACTTTGTAACAGACTAGGACTTTAGGGATTGTTTTTATTATTAACGAAAACGGAAACCAAAAGCAAAAATAATCTGTGAGCACCACCTTGTGGAGATATCTACAACCTTCACATCGGTTTGGACCTTATCAATCTGGATTCATTTAACACATATTTAATATGCCGGCCCTGGGGATGGAACAATAAACAGGCAAAACTCCCTGGCCTGGTGGAACTTACTTTCTAGTGAGAAGACAGAAGATTAACAAGAACAATACATGAAATACATAACATAATAGACAGTGATGAGTGCTACAGATAAATAATAAAGCAGGGTCAAGGGTCAGGGAAGGGGAATTGCAATTTAAAATCAAATGGTCCAAGAAGGCCTCACCCTAAAAGGTATTTGAATAAAAGTTTGAAAGAGGAAAAGCCAGATACACCATTGCCTGAAGTCAGAGCCATCTAGATAGAAGGGCGCATATGAAGTACTGAGTAAAAAAATGCCTGGTGAATTTGAAAAGGGTTGAGGCCAATGTCCAGAGCAAGGGTGGAGGAGAAGGCAGGAGGCAAAGACAGAGGGGACGCATGGGGCCAGATCACAGGGAGGCTTTCTGGCCACAATGAGGATTTAACGACTACTTTGGATGAGCTGCCAGCTTCAAGAGGCTCTGCACAGAGAGGTAAGATGAGCCACTTTTTTTTTTAACAGGATTGCTTTGATCAAAGGGGTCAAAAGCGGAAATAAACCTGGAGTGGTGGGAGGAATCTTTATTCCCAGCTACTCAGGAGGCTGAAGCAGAAGGATCACTTGAGCCTAGGAGGTGAGGCTGCAGTGAGCCAGGTGAGCACCACTGCACTCCAGCCTGGTTGACAAAGCGGGACCCCACCTCAAAATAAAAAAATTAAAAAAATTAATAATTTTTTTTCAAGGCATAAATGGGCAATACTGCCTTTAGATATATGCCAGAGGGGCCCTGCCATACACCAATGTTTTAAAGAGTTCTTCATAAAACAAGTGCACAATGTGTAAATTTATTATAGTACTCAGAGCACCTTGATTAGAGATAAGGGTTTAGTTCTGGCTCGGTACAATCTGTAATCTTTAATATGTGTTCCTATGACTAACACCCTTCAGGAACCCTGAGAAACTTATCTCCGTGCTGCTTACCCTCTGCACATCAAACAAAAGGTGACCGCCTCCAAACACCATCAGATTTACTGGGTTGTACTGCTACAATCATGGGTGTGGCATGGAAAGAATTGAGCAATGGGTAGGCTTGATTAAGAGAAATGCATCTTAACTTATCAAGTCCTTCCTTTTGGGGACCACAAATACCATAGGTAACAGTGACAAGGGTCGCTGTTATATATCAATTGTGCTGGGCATTTATTTTCTTGCTTTCTCTTTGTGTTTCATTTTACTATTCTTGAGATACTCGTGAACTACATGGCATCTGCAAAAGTTGCACATTTAATGGCTAAAAGATAAGAATTCATATCACCCAAATTTGTTTTAATGCAGGTCTAGACGGAAAATTTATCATGAATATAGGTTCTAAAATAGTGTTTTAAGAGATGATGAAATGGCAATATAAGTGATCATTGGTTTATATAATAAAATTTTAATATTTTGCAGTATTGTCTTCAATAGTAATAATGCATCTTATGCAACCCATCTTACACTTTGAACCAAACTTAATCATAAAATTACTACTGTATTTTCAAGTCTTATTGCCAATTCAGCTGAGAAACCTCTCTAAACAGAAATTAACTAAGAAATACAATGACTCAACAAAGGTGCTCAAATTTGACAAAACTGTCAACAGAACATGTATCGTATGGAAAGCCTGATTACAAAACATATCATATTTTTTTCTGAAATTAAGTTTTAAAAATAACATCTATGGGATAAATATAGAGTAATTTATGAATGAATGTTTTTGTCTTATTACTCATTCAAATTTCACCTGCCTATCACTAGGACACCTAGACATACACCAGAGTAATTAAGTCACCTTTGATATTTTGTTTACTGTAAGTCAAAAAAAGCCACAATTTTATTTATTTTTTTCAACACAAAGGCTTATATTTCAAAGTAGAAGGATAGAAGATATTTTAAATAAACATTTGTTAGCTTCACTTATAAGCTTTAAATATTTCATATTTCAACATGTGGTATGTTGGCTCCACTTGCATTTGAGCCTTGGATCTCCTATATGTTAGAGGAATGCAGTTACAAAGTTATTGCTATAGTTGGCCATAGTTTGACCCAGGATGTGGCAGTGAAGCAGTACTATTCCTCAAACTCTGTACACATTCTGAAGAAAGCTCCAAAAGGATTACCTGACAGATTAAGTATAAAAGAGAAAAATAAAATGTCACAAGGTTTTTGGCCTGAACAGTTGAACAGAACTTGTATTATGTGAGTTAAGATAGGATGCAGGAGGATCAGCTTGATTTTGCCACGTTAAGCTTGGAATGTCCATTTCACTCTCAGCAGTTTAAGCAGTTTAGTACTCAGGGCTGGCATTCGGGTGTGTTTATTTGGTAGTCATCAGGGTAGAAAAAGGGTAGGGATTGTGTTCAAATCCTTGCGATGGGATTTGAATTTTCTACTTTTCTTCTACTTTTCTTGATTTTTCTACTTTTGACAAGATGGAAGATATGTTATTGTTGAAAGAAGGGAATACTCAGTTGTCCAGTTCTCCACCTTCACAGCAGAAAATGGCATGAAGAACCTTGAACCTCCCTCCCAAAGCCACTAGCAGAGAATAACAACTTTCAGGATGCCCTGAAAAGAACTCATAATCAACTACTCCTCCTGGATCCTAACCCTGAGCTCTTAACTCCAGATTTCCTATGAAATGTCTACCACAAACACTAGTGTAAGATGCTAACAGATACCCTAAATCTTACACATGAATTGTTGTACTCCTACTGGTGCTCTGCCTGGTTCTCTTTTGTATCACATCCTGTGGTATGGGTTTTTCTTCTCTCTTCCTAGGCTGCTTGTCTCTCAGCTTCCCCAAATTGCTCCAATCCACTCATAGAGATGATGTAAAGAAAAAAATAAACATAAGAACATATGAATAAGAGACAAAACTCTTCCTGAATTTCATTATTATTCAATGCTAATTGGAAAAACAAAAAATTTTAAGTGTAAGCATCACTTTTTAAATCACTTGCAAGTCATTTTATTCTCCCTCTGACAAATATAAGCACAGCCACAACTAAAGCAATATTTCATTCTAAACAGGGAAGAGCTGCTGAAGAAAGGGAGAAATGTCAGGAGTTAACTTTATCCCCACTGGATCCTTAAATGAGAAACTAATGCAACATTTCCAAAATGGATATACTACAAAATGCCCCTTCACAGTGTGTTACATGATCAGTTCTACATCCAAAATAAACAGAATCATTGGATAAACAAAATTAAACAAACTTATTTTCTGTGGGAACATCTGAGACTACACTAATGTGCTTCATAAATCTTCAACAGGAAGATAGAATATAGTACTTCCAATATTTGTTTGATGCAGAAACCACTCTTTTCCAATACTTCATAACAACTTCCAGAAATGCTATTCCTCTGAATATAATTTGAGAAACTTACATATATATAAACATCATTCACTTTTGAGGCTCTCACTCATATATACATATACATATATATGTATATATGAGTATAAATATATACATGTATGATACATACATGTATCACTCATATATACATATACACATACATATGTACTTATATAGACATATATACATGTATATATGTGTGTGATACATGATATATGTATATGATATGTGTATGCATGTATATGAGTACATTTATACATGCATGTATGTATATATACCTATATGTATCATACGTACATATATCATATACCTATATATATCATACATACATATATCATATACCTATATGTATCATACATATATCATATACATATATTATGTATCATACATATATATCATACACATGTATCATATACATTATATATGTATGATACATATAGGTATATATGTGTATACATATGTATATATGTGTATATACGTGTGTGTGTGTGTGTATATATGAGTGAGAGCCTCAAAAGTGAATGGTGTTTGCCAAAGTAGGCAGTGCAACAAAGTAGGCAAACACCAGAAAGTTTTCTATCACCCACTCCCTGTCTTGATGCACCAAGATTTGCAAATCTGCGTAACTCTGCCTTCGTGGAACCAAATTCAATTTGGATTCAATAAATTTGCTTTTTAGAAAATGAAACCAGCCAGCTGCAGTGGTTCACACTTATAATCCCAACACTCTGGGAGAACAAGGCAGGAGGATTGCTTGAGCTCAGGAGTTTAAGACCAGCCTGGGTAATATAGGGAGGTTCCATCTATATAAAAATAAAATAATAAAAATAAGTTAGCCAAGCATGTGACAAAGGCCTGTGGTCCCAGGTACTTGAGAGGCTAAGAAGGTGGGAGGAATTCTTGGACAAAGGAGGTTGAGGATACAGTGAACGAGAATCACTTCACTGCACTCTAGCTTGGGTGGTAGAGCAAGATCACGTCTCAAAAAAAAGGAAAGAAACAACAAAAATGAAACCACTGAATTATCAAAAAATATTCACAATTACTATACATTTGCATTGCAAATTAACTCCCAAATCCCCACCTGCTCCAGCAATGTTATCACTGAATAAGTAGAATTAATTATTATAGAGATTATAATAATGATGCCAAAGAATTTATCCTAATTAAATGTTCTATCATGAAGAAAAGGCAAACATTCAAATCAATAATGATTTCATTTTATTCTTTTGGGGACATTCAGTTCTTCTAAGCACAATAATTTGATTAATGATTTCATCTTCACTATGATTATCAACTTTTTCTTACATTTTACCCAACACACAAGTCCATATAATACAAGTTTTGTGAGCAAACCTTTAGACACTGATAAATGTTAAATATCCTTTAGCTAGTCTTTGCCACTCTTTCTGTCATCTCCATGAATTAAACCAACATGAGAGGAGTTCCATTTTGTCAGAAGGCAACCCATCCAAGAGAGTCAAAACCTTGCTGTCATACTATGCAATTTACACAAAAAGAAGTGACATACATTTATCTGAGATATAGAAGATATTTAGTAAGAACATATTTATTAACTATAAATCTCATTCATATTTTGTATACAGATATTATTATTATACTTAAATGGCATGAATAATGCTGATATTATAATGCTAAATTTTAAAGCCTAGCTACAAAGTTACTGACATATGTTCTGAAATATATATAAGTATTTTTAAAGGAGGTGCCTTAAAATAGAAATAACAATTGACTCCAAGAGACATTTTTTAAAAAAATTTCTGCATTATTTTTATAGTCTTGAAAAAATTGAAGTTTTTTTTTAATAGCACTAGTCTATGTTAATTGACCTATTCCACTAAATCTAAACTACGAGATTGAAGACATAAACTTATGGTGAAATTCCAGAAGTTTCCTTTGGGTACAAAAGAAACCCAGTAAAAATGCTGTCATCCTCAGCACTGACATACACCCCATTCCAATCTTTTGACACTTCAAGCCAGACTTGGTCTCCTGCACTTAATTTCAAGATAATGAGGAGAGATGCCTGGTCTATTTCCTGACCATACAGAGTTTCTCTGGACTTGAACTGCCTCTTATTCTGGGCCACCAGACTGATTCGAGCAGGTCGGCCCCTCACAGTTACATGGTAGGAAAAAACATATGTCCCAGGAATAGAGCAGTTAAACTTCCCAGTGACAGGACTATAACTCCCTTGGTCATTATAGAGAACCTTGTCAAATTTGATGGGGATGTTTGGAGGAGGGAAAGGCTTTGACAAAGCAGCACTGAAAGCTGACTGTGGCACTCTAGCCACCTCACCCTTGGAGCCTTTAAAGCCCCGAGAGCCCTTCTTCCCAATGGGGCCTCGGACCCCTTTACTGCCAATGTCACCCTTTGGCCCAGTAGGTCCCAGGAGACCAGGAGGACCTAACTCTCCCTTTTCTCCTTTAACCCCTGGATCACCTTTGGCCCCAGGCAGACCACTGTGACCACTTTTGCCTTCCATTCCACTATCCCCTTTGTAACCTTTTTCTCCTTTTATACCTGCCTCACCTTTCTGTCCTTTTCCTCCTTTCTCCCCAGAATCTCTGCAGTAGCCTTTCTCCCCCATCTCCCCCTTCTCTCCCTTGGTGCCAGGCCCTCCGTGCAGGCCCGGTGAGCCCATAGCCCCTTGGTCTCCTTTTTCGCCTTTGGTACAATTCCCACATGTGTCTCCCTTGGAGCCTTTTTGTCCTTTCACTCCTGCCAAACCAGTGTTTCCTTTATCTCCCTTAGGGCCAAGTTCACCTGAAATGGAAAATTAAAATAACGTTTAAGGATCACATAGGCTATAAACAGCATGCTATTACCACAGAGCTCAAAAAAGTAGAAAGAAAACTACTAATTAGGACCTGGAAACCTGGTTCTTGCCTCAGTAATACCTGTGCCTAGGAGGCTCTGACAATGAACAGTTTATATTATATCATGCTCTTAGAAGGGGAATCGTTAACGCTTCTAAGAAACAGTCGCTTATATTCAGATGACATATATCTAGTTCTTTTTTTTTCACTTTTAAGATAATAAAGAATATTAGGACTGTACTTGTTCATTGTATTCCATTTCCCTTTGCATTTTGGCCTAACCCAGGTATTCTCCTAAATCCCTACATTGTCCATTCAAGCCTAAATCTTATTGGCAAGGAAACAGACCCAGAACGAGTCAGGGATTTTTATTTTCCATTGGCAGCTAGAGAAAGAAGCAGAGCACAGATACTATTACCTGGTCTCCAAATTCCTAGACCAGTGCTCCTTCATCAAGTCAGTACACTGAATTCTTAGAAGGATAACAGTAATTTGTATTTTCAGTATACCTCTCTGATAATTTTAAGTACAAACAAGAGAGAATGAAGGGCTATACTGCACATATGACTGTTCACAGTAGATATATTTCATGCTCTACCTTGTGCTCCAGGTTTTCCTGGGTATCCTGGAATTCCTTGGTCCCCACGTTCTCCTTTGAGCCCTTAAAATGATACCAAGATTAACTTATCAACTACATCATTTATGATATATCTAATATTCTTCTCACAATTGTGTCACATTCCAGTATTTTCCTTAACCAAAATGGGTTAAAGGTAAAATAGTGTGAAAAAAGAACGTAGACTGGGCGCAGGGGCTCATGCCTGTAATCCCAACACTGTGGGAGGCCGAGGTGGGTGGATCACCTGAGGCCAGGAGTTCGAGACCAGCCTGACCAACATGATGAAACCCCGTCTCTACTAAAAATACAAAAAATTAGCAGGTTGTGGTGGTGTGCATCTGTAATCCCAGCTATTCGGGAGGCTGAGGCATAAGAATCACTTGAGCTGGGGAG